GCGGGGCACGGTGTGGGGCGCAGTGGGGTATGTCGTGGGGTGCAATGGGGCAGGTTGTGGGGTGCAATGGGGCAGGTCGTGGGGGGCAGCGGGTCATGCGCTGGGGACTGCAGGGGGCTGCGATGCCCCTGGCCGGTGCTGCTGAGCAGACTGCGGGGAGCACTGGGCACTATGGGGTGCAGCGAGGTGTCCTGTGGGGCCCGGCGGGTGCTGTGGGACAAACCGTGGGTGCTCTGGGGTGCCCAGGACGTGCAGCCAGCCCTGTCCGCGGCAGCCGCGCGTTTGCATGCACCTTTGCAGCGACTTTGCATGCATCTTTGCAGCGGGCTTACACATCTTTATTATTTCGCATGCATCTTTGCAGCGAGTTTGCACACATTTATGGTTTTGCATGCACCTTTGCAACGCGGTTGCACATCTTTATGATTTTGCACACACCTTTGCAGCAGCCTTGCACGCCCTTTTACAACAGGCTGTCACACACCTTTATGCGTCGCTGGCCCTGCCTGTGTTGGTAGTTCAGCCCATAAATAAATATTTGCCGAAACCAGCTCCAAGCGGCGCGCGCTGCAGTGCCCTGCGCTTATCTGCACCCGCTCCACAGTTATAATTAATGCGACAGTTAATTCCCGGGAATTGCAGAGTATAACTTGGGCTAACACTGCTTGATAGCCGCTGCCTTCCCGCTCGGCCGGCTTTTACGGGATGCTCCATCCCTGCATCCCTCCATGCCCACCTCCACATAACACCCCCGCCACCGCGGCGATTAAAGCACATGGCATCCGGGCATACTTTAAAATAAGCTTTATTTAGATTTTTTATAATTTTTATATTTGCATCCATGCCTTCAAGGTATCTCCCCCCCAACTCACGTGGGGAAAAAGTTAAATCTAGTGTTATCCATAATCCATATGCTATTTTTCCAAGTTCTCTTTTTTAAATAAATCATCCTCTTAGTATTTTTTTTCTTTTTTAGAATTATTTCCTAATTTACAAAAAAAAAAGCAGAAATGAAAAGGAAATTACTCAACAGCAAGGAGATTGCTCATTGGTTCTGCTCGGACGATATTTTAAAATATAAAAACGCAAGGAGAGGAAAAAAATAAAAGGAATGTATAAAAATGCTTCTCTGCGGAGAAAGATGTCACAGGGCGACGCTCTCCCCCCGGCGCCCGGCTCGGATTTGGGAGCCGCTTTGGAAAGCGGCGCCGGGACCCGGCTGCCCGGTGGCTTCTCCGCATCATCGCGTTAGCAAGGATACACAGCATGACAGTGTCGGGTTTTAGTTTTGTAATTTAAGACAAAAACGCCCCTTTCAAACAGGGTGCGCTTAGGAGAATTAGGGAAAAAAATAATACACTATTATAGCATTATTAAATAATCTTAATACTTTTTTTTAAGAGCTTAAAATTATATTGTAAGCATTAAAGCGTAAGGTACTTATCTGGTGGTGAGCGGAGAGCGGCGCGTGTTAGTGGGGGAAGCTCGGGGGGATTCATGGAGCCGGGGGGACGGAGAGGCCCGAGCCCCACGCGGAGCCCCCTAAACTGGGGGGAAATCAAGGAAATCCCCGCGGCTGCGGCGAGCTGATATTCTGGGAGCTGCTCGGATACCCCTGCGGATTTGGGGAGGGATCGCCAAGCAGCGTGAGGGGGGGAAAATGCCCAAAAAATAGAGAGAGGGGGGGAAAAAAGCGGCCGCTGGTGCTGGGCCCCCGCGGGTGGGATCCGTCGGGAATCGCCGCTCCGGCTTTGCCCACGCCGCTTCTTCCGCCCCCGTTTTCCCGTGCGCAGGGACAGGCGGCTCCCGCCCGGCGCGACGCTACAATACGGAGCCCCCCCCGCTCCCTCCCAACCAACGTGGAAAAATAGAGATTCCAAAATTTGCGCAATAATTTAGTTAGAATAGCTCCTCTGGATTCTGTGCAAATAAATTAAACAACAAAACGAAAGTTAAAACAATTCCTCCAGACTGACAGGCAGCAAAAAGAGCCCAGTTGCCTCCTCGGGGTTTGGCCAGGAAGACAGCGTATGGAACGAGACCTTTTTTTCCTTTTTTTTCCGTGTTCAGGTCTCTCCGTCCGGGCAGCGCCTGCTGTTCGTGATCCCCATGGGCAGCCGGATGCGCCGTCCGCGCCGAGAGCCGGCGCCGGGCTCGTGCCGCGCGGACCATGCGCCGCCGCGGCGGGCTCAGGAGCGTGTGGGACAAGAGACGTCACAAGCACAAAGTGCACGATATTTCTGTTATTTACAGGTACACAGCAGTCCTTCAAGTTTCAAGTTTTGTCAAAAGGGGGAGGAAAACGAACAACAACAGCGACGACAAAAAAATCGGAGCGCCCAAACAAACAAATCGAAGCGACGACGGAGGGCAGAGTTACGGGAACAAAACCAACAACAAAAAAAAAGGAAACAACCCAAAATCCCTACGGAAGCGAGTTACAACACAGCCGCATTGCTCCAAGGACGACAGTGACCATGTCCACGCGGGCTCGCGCGGAGGGTGTACACGGGCTGGAGGCTCCCGTTGCTTTCCGGGCTGGACACGTCCGCGCACGGACACTCGGCACAGGCGCCGGCAGCCGCCGGGAGCTGCCGGCCGGGAAGGGGGTCACCAGTCCGCGTCCTCCTCTATGTAGTAGTCGGGGGCCGTCCCGTCAAACAGGCCGGGGTCTAGCGACTTGCGCTGCTTCCCGCGGGCGAACACCCTGGAGATGGAGCCAAAGCCCATCTTCTCTTTCTTCTTTTTTCGTTTTTGGTCTTCGAGGTCCTCTAGAGACTGCGGGAGGGGGGACAACAAAGAGTGAGGATGGGGAAGGAGAAGGAAATGGAGAAGGAGGTGGATGGAGGAGAGGGAAAAGGAGGAGATGGTGAAAGAGATGGAGAAGGAGAAGGAGATGGAGAAAGAGATGGAGGATGGAGAAAGATGGCAATGGAGAAAGATGGAGGAGAAGAGAGGAGAAGGAGATGGAGAAAGATGGAGAAAGATGGCAATGGAGAAAGATGGAGGAGAAGAGAGGAGAAGGAGATGGAGAAAGATGGAGAAACAGATGGAGAAACAGATGGAAATGGCAAAACAGATGGAGAAGGAGAAGGGAAGGAGATGGAGAAGAGAAGGAGATGGAGATCGAAGACGGAGAAGAAGATGGAGGATAAGAAGGAGAAAAAGAATGAGGGAAAAAGATTTGAGTGTCTCCAGCAAACGGGAAGGAACTGCCATGCTCCAGACCCTTTCCAAAAAGCATCAACCACCCAAACACCACTGGGAACTTTGCTGCTGAGTTTTCCTGTGACCCCCCAGGATGACAAGCAGTGGGATAAAACACGGTTATTCCGTAAAACGCCAAGCTTGGGCAGTAGGAGCAGATTTGGACAGGGGGCCCTGGGATATATATTCAGACTAACTCGGACTGCCCTTGCAAGACAGTCACGAGCAAAATGTCACATAACAGCAGAGGGATTGGAAAGGGGAGCTGCTTCCTACCTGTACAATTGGGTTGTGCAAGTTTTTCTGTACCGGACCAGGACTATCCCCCTACCAGCAGAAGGAGACAGATCAAATTGAAACAGCGTAAGCACAGCGCCGGATCCCACACCACTGGAGCAAAAACAGCCCTTGAGTCAAGACAATTTTGCACAGAATCCCTGTTTTTAGGGCAAAGTAGCATGAGACATTATTGGGTTGTTGGCAGTTCTTTTGGGGAGGAAGATTTGGGACAGGGGCAACCAAGTGAGGGCAACTCTCCCCTTCTGGGGGTTTTTGTTTACCCCTAGAAACATGGGGGAAAAATGCTGTTTTTTTTTTTTTTTTTTTTTTTTCCCCTGAGTGACTCAGTTTAGATAAAAACAATTAAATCATCTGGATTTTTATCCTAGGTTGAACCTTTGCTACCTTCCCCCCAGCAGATCTTCCCATAAACCAATCCCCCCTTTAGCTCCGTGCAGCCCCAGGCTCCTGCCCAGGCCACAGTGGGGACAGGCCGAAAGGCAGTGTCACAACAGGGACAGCGGGCAGGGAGTGCTGCTGCCCTTGGAGCACACGTTAGGATCTGCACCTTGGAGTGCATGTCACGATCTGCACCTTGGAGCATGCGTTAGGATCTGCACCTTGGATCATGTGTTAGGATCTGGGCCTTGGAGCACACGTTATGATCTGCACCTTGGAGCACACGTTAGGATCTGCACCTTGGATCATGTGTTAGGATCTGCACCTTGGATCATGTGTTAGGATCTGCACCTTGGAGCACACGTTAGGATCTGCACCTTGGATCATGTGTTAGGATCTGCACCTTGGATCATGTGTTAGGATCTGCACCTTGGAGCACACGTTAGGATCTGCACCTTGGAGCAGCGTTAGGATCTGCACCTTGGATCATGTGTTAGGATCTGCACCAGGGACCCCAGACGCCAGCAAGAGCCTTTACCAGCAGCTGGGCTGGGACTAGCCCTAGGGGGAGAGGGAGACCTGGTGGCCGCTGGGCTCCGAGGGAGCCGTTTTGGGGGGCTCAGCGGGTGCCTTACGTTGCAGAGCGAGTGCGTCCGATGCCGGGGCGAGTTGATGTCGCTCGGCGTCGACGACCTGTCGCCTTCGGCGGCGGACGCGTCGGAGATGATGGAGGGCTGCCGCGAGTGGAAGGGGACACAACTTGCAGCGGGACCGCGAGG